CCTTAGCACTCTATCCAGTAAGAGCTTGATGAAAAGCTCAATGGACAGCATCACTGGTCCAGTTTTGCCACATTTGATTTCACCTGCATGTTCAATACAAACCAAAGTGGGGCTAGTAAGTAGATGGTTTCACAGTGCCTCAGATACAGAGGCAGCAGCATGGGGTGGCAGCTGACTCTCCAGGAGTGCTAGGAGCCAGTTTAAATGCTGGCTTCCAGAGCTCACCAACTCCCCGGGGAGATGGCTTATACCCTGTGCTGCAGGCTGTGCAGTAAGCTTTATATCGCAGAGCCTGCAGCGTGTAATCACTAAGATTTTTTTAATGCTTACCTAATTAACCGTATTTTAACATCTCAATTAAATCCTAACATGAAAGCCTGTATCTAATAACATGCTTTTCCTTTTCATTTTGCTTCCTTCCATCAGGTTTAAAACAAGTTCATTTACATTCAAGGTATGCTGAGAAGCTCATCTTTTTACCCAGGTTTATGGACCTGGGAGTATGTGTCTTGGAACATGGTTTAAGATTAGCACCATGGCTGGTTGTATGTTTTTAGGGAGTCCTCTGCTTTTATAATAAAATGTGCTTTTCCATCAGAGAACATAAGAAAAGCCATAGTAGGTCAAACCAAAGGTTCACCTAGCCTAGTAGCCTGTTTTCTGATACTGGGCAGTTCCAGATGGAATCATAAACTGGAAGCAACTTTGAGAGGTCATGAAGTCCAGTCCCCTGCACTCAAGATAGGATCAAGCACTATCTAAGACCAGGACTACTCAACTTTGGAAGCCCCAGGGGCCACAGTGATACTCACAGCACATGCTGAGGGCCGCAACTTAAGAGTGGTTACACACGCGCACACACACGTCGACAAATTATGGAAAACCCTACTTGCCAGACAAAAACGGGCCTCACCACCCTCCCCCACAAAAAGTGTTTTTTTAATGGCATAAATTCCTAATAAGAATAAGAACAGTAATTACTAATACATTATTAATAAATATCACCCAGGTTATTAATAAATATCTTATAAACCTCTACCTTTTCTCTCTGCTGCCATGTTTTAAAATAGCTTATTTCACACTGATGGACATGAATACAAAGATTAAGGAAAGACTACACAACACAACACGCAGGCCCCGTGTAAGTCAGTTCTGCTGATATTAATAAAATGCAATATTTACCCGACTTCCACCCATATGACAACACTTTTAATGAGCAATGACAGTCCAGGAATTTTACTAAAACGCATATCAACAGAAGTCCATTATATTGGCTCAGCATTGTGGACTGTGTTCCCAGTGGAGGCCATGTTCAAAGGATCTCACCTGTGGGCTGTGTGTTGAGCCCCACATAAACCCAAACCGCACCGTGGGCTGTAAACAAGCGGGCTGTAGGCCACATGCAACCCAAGGGCCATATGTTGAGTAGCCCTGATCGAGACTGCTCTTGACAGGTGTTTGTCTAACCTGCTCTTAAAAATCTCTAATGATGGAGATCCCACAACTGCCTTAGGCAATTTATTCCGGTGCTTAACCACCTGGACAGAAGGTTTTTCCTAATGTCCAAGCTAAACCTCCCTTGCTTCAGTTTAAACCCATTGTTTTTTGTCCTATCCTCAGAGGTTAAGGAGAATAATTTTTCTTCCTCCTCCTTCTGACCTTTTACAAGGTCCCCTCTCAGTCTTCTCTTTTCCAGACTAAACAAACACAATTCTTTCAGTCTTCCCTCATGCTCATGTTTTGTAGACCTTTAATAATTTTTGTTGCTCTGCTCTGTACCTTCTCCAATTTGTCCACATCTTTCCTGAACTGTAGCACTCAGTCATTTGAGGTCTAATCAGTGTGAGGTCTAAACACTGACTCATATTTAGCTTGTGGTCCACTATAACCCCCAGATCCCTTTACACAGTACTTCCTACACACAATTTTCCTATTTTGTATATGAGCAACTGATTATTCCTTCCTATGAAAAGTTCTCTTATTTTGTCCTCCTTTAATTTCATCCTATTTACTATAGCAGTGGTCCCCAACAAGGTGCCCGCGGGCGCCATGGCGCCCACCGGGCCATTTCTATGCACCCACAGAGTTATTGGGGCTGCCCCTGGGCGCACTGCGCATGGATGGTGCTGGCCCCGGGCATGCACCACATGAGCATTTACGTGGCCCCATCCCTGGGTGCACGGTGCAAGGGCTGTGTCGGCCCCCGATGTGCGGCATATGGGCAGTGCTGGCCTCTGGGCACGCGGCATATGGGCAGCGCCAGCCTGGGTGCACGGCCCAGAGGCAGCACCGGCCCTGGGTGCGCAGCACATGGGCGGCCCTGCCCCCGGGTGTGCAGCACATGGGCTGTCCTGGCCCCGGGCGTGCGGCGTATGGGCGTCCCCACCCTGGGCGCGTGGCATAGGAGCGGCACCAGCCCCGGGCATGCAGCATATGGGCGCTGCCGGCTCCTAGGTGCGCGGCACAGGCGCCGGCCCCGGGCACGCAGCACATGGGCGGCCCTGCCCCCGGGTGTGCAGCACATGGGCTGTCCTGGCCCCGGGCGTGCGGCGTATGGGCGTCCCCACCCTGGGCGCGTGGCATAGGAGCGGCACCAGCCCCGGGCATGCAGCATATGGGCGCTGCCGGCTCCTAGGTGCGCGGCACAGGCGCCGGCCCCGGGCACGCAGCACATGGGCGGTGGCGGCCCTGCCCCTGGGCATGCAGCGTATGGGCAGCCCCGCTCCTGGGCGCACAGCTCAGGAGCAGCGCCAGTCCCGGGAGTGCGGCGCATGGGTGGCACCAGCACTGGGCGCGTGGCGTATGGGTGCTTCTGCCCCTGGGCACGTGCGCAGCCTTGCCCCTGGGCGCCCAGCCCGTGAGCTGCCCCGCCCCTGGGTGCCTGGCAGCCCCAAAAGGTTGGGGACCACTGTACTACAGACCGTTTTTAGAGTTTGTCCAGATCATTTGAATTTTAATCCTATCCTCCAAAGTACTTGCAATTATAATGAGAAATAAAAAGACTGACTTTTCAGCTTGAAAAACATATGACTAAGAGGGAATATGATAGATGTCTGTGAAGTCATGTCTGCTGCGGAAAAAGTAAATAAGGAAGGGTTATTTACTTCTTTACAACACAAAAACAAGGGAGCACCTAATGACATTAATAGGCAGCAGATTTTAAAAGAAGAAAAGGAAGTACTTCACACAACACACCCAGCCTGTGGAACTCATTGCCAGTGGATATTATGAAACCAAAACTAGAATGGGGTTCCAAAAAGAAGGAACAAAGTTCATGGAAGATGGGTCTATCAATCACTATTAGCCAAGATGATCGGGGTGTAAACCCCCCTGCTCTGGGTATCCCTAGACCAAGGGTGGCCAACCTGTTATAGGCAAAGAGCCAAAATAGTGGTGGATACAGCCCAAAGAGCGGAGGGGAAAAAAGTTGTCAGGGGGAGGGGGGGAAGCCCCAGCTGCCGCTATTTGGTGGATCAAAAAGAGCAGAGCAGGCATTGCCCTTTTAAGGCAGCCATTTTGAAATCTGCACAGGACACTGCAACTCCAGCTGTCAGACAGAAACACGCCGCCGCTTGCAGAGCTGCGAGCTGCATGCAGCTCGCAAGCTGCGGGTTGGCCTCCCCTGCCCTAGACTCTGACTGCCAGAAGTTGTGAGTGAACAATGGGGTGGATTATTTCATGCCTGCCTAGTTTCTTCATTCTCTGAAGCACCTGGCATTGGCCACTATCAAATGACAGGATACTAGGCTAGATGGACTGTTGGTCTAAGAATGGCTATTCTTATGTTCTTAAAAAATAAAGTTCTGTATTAGAAGTACAAGTTCTTTGTTCTACTCTCAGGTATTACTGATGGGGCTGTATAGATAAGCTTCTTTCTAGTTGATATCAGAAAGATTCCTAGGGACAATGTAGCTAAGATTAATGACAGGTTTCATCCCACAGTTGGATTTTTTGATAGGGTTACCGACTCCAGAAGAGGAACTTGCAGGTGCAAGGAGGTTTGTCAAGATCTCTGGTCTGCCTCACTAGGACCAGAGCCTTCCCACCATACCATGTGCCTTCAGAGATCTGGTGATACCAGCCCTGTGAAAGCATAGGGAACCCTCTGCCATTCTGCTATCTTAGCCCCTGCACTCCTGTGACAGCAGTGCTGCAAAGGACCCATTCAGCATTAGGGTGATCTTCTCCACAGCCAGAGACTCATCCTCTCTGCTATCCTGGCTAGGAATGTCTCATCTGTTACCCAAACCTCCACATTATCTGAATCCCTCCCTTATTCTACAGCATATGATACATGCAGCAGAGGGCACATATTTCATGCTGGGAAGCAAGGAAGGGATTTATATAATGCAGAGGTATGGATAATCTGGTTCTGGATAAATGGGAGTATGCTACATATCATTTACTTGAAAGACTAGAAGGCAGATTTTACTTTTTCCTCATAGGTTCATCTCTAGCTAAAGGTTCCACATCACTCCATCCTTTTAGCCTCATCAGTGCTGCTGCAGGATTAGGAAGTACACTGTGAACTACTCCTTCCCACAAAGGCAAATAAGTGGCCACTGCTCCAGGGTTTGATGTCCATGAATGATGTTCTTGCTGCTAGACAACTTGCTAGTATAACTCTCTACAACTTTGTAAGAAAAGCCCATACATTTATTCTTTATCATAATATACATAATAGAGTTTTATTCTTAGAACAATTTGTCTTTGGTAAAATATTTTCCATTTTCATCTTTCAGCCATAATACCACCAAGGAGTAAGCATCTGTAAATGCATACAATCGTAGTGTGGGACAACCACAGTTGCAGATAACACACACCACAGAGCGAAGAAATATTTTTTCCTAAGGTTTACTCTTTCAAGTGGTAAAGATATTTTAAAGTTCATATTGCAAAAACTCCCCTTCAGTTTGCAAGATCTTGTCTGAAAAGTAGTGAATTATTTGCATTCATTCTGACATCATTATGCACATGGTATGATGAACAGATCACTAAGATTTCCTTGATTTAAAATCTATTACAATGCAAGTTTTGAGTAGTAAATACAAACTGCACACAATAGTGTTTGATAGTCCGCCAATACCCGACTAGAAGGATCAGGAACAAGCCTTGGATGCCTAGAGTGACAAGTCAGAAGTGGATGAGAGGAGCAGAACCAAAGAAATGAGCCAACACCGAAGCTGTGATAGAAAATAACTTACACGAGAGCACCATGGCCATCTGAGGCAAAACAGAAGGTTAAGAGGCGAGCATCCTACTTTCACATGATCACTCTGCTAGTCCCAACTTTTAGTAAACAGTGTGATGGTTTGTCTTAGACAAGAATCTGTTATTGTTAGAGACTGGTGAGAGGTGAATATTAGCTGGTAGGGAGGAAATAGATGTTAAAAGAAAAAATATTTGCACCTTACAGCTTGAAAGTGGAGTAATTTCTCCAGTCTTTATATGGTCATTTCCTTCTATCTTTTTTTCAAAACTGCTCTCCTAATTACCTGAATAGCTTGAGGGACACAGATTTGGTTCAAATCAAGAAACCATCAAACAACGGCGGAGGGGGAGCTCCACATCAGGAGCCTGTCATTCTCATCTCTGCCTCATTCACTTGCCTCTGTAACAGCAGAGTTGCAGAGGGCTGCCTCTGCAGCCTTAGAACAAGTGATACCCAATTCCCTGCAGATGCAAGGAAGGTTGCCAAGACCTCTGCTCTGCCTCACCAGAATCAGAGCCTTCCCACTACACCTTGTGCCTTCAGGGATATGCTATCACTAGCCCTGTGGCCCTCTGCCATTCTGCTGTGTTAGCCTCATTTACTCTTATGACATCAGTGATGTAGAGGGACCCATTCGGAGCAAGTTGATCTTCTCCACAGCAACAGATCATCCTCTTTGCAATCCTGGCTAGGAATGTCTCATCTGTTACCCAAACCTCCACATTATTTGAATCCCTCTCTTATCCTACAGAATATGATGCATGCTGTAGTAGACATATATTTCATGCTGAGAGACAAGGGAGGGATTTATATAATGTAGAGGTCTGGATAATCAGGTTCTGGATAAACAGGAGTATGCTACGTATCATTTACTTGAAAGACCTGAAGGCAGATTTTATGTTTTCCTTCACAGGTTCATCCTCATCATTCCATTCTTCTAACCTCATCAGTGCTGCTATAGGAATTATAGGATTAGGAAGTACAGTGTGAACTACTTCTTCCCTCAAAGCCAAATAAGCAGCCACTGCTCTAGGGGTTAAAAAGTTTACTAAGCTGTTCAAATTTGAGAACAAAACTATTCTTCTCACATCAGGCAGAAATACAGGTGTAGCTCTACAACTAATCGCCTATCATGCCAATTAATGCAATAGTTGATTAAGGCAAATAGCCCAGAACTGAGACTTAAAAAGCAGAGCATGCACACCAATCATTAGTAATAATTTCCACAAAGAGAACGTTTAGAACTTAACCTTGTACGCTCAATTACAATAGCTGTCTGCAATGGGAGAACCAGAATTAACTCAAACATTCTCTTCCCATTAGGGAAGAATATGGAACATTAGATATAGTCACAAAAGGTTGTTAAATTATCTTAGTACTATTATACACATCCAGTTTGCTCACTATTTTAGACTATTTGAACTTGATATTTATCACCCAAATTTCTTTAAAAGGTGTCATTCCAAATGCCAGCCGTCTCTCCATGTAGATGCTCATTAGTCTTTGAGCTATTCAGGACACTGGTCTTTGCAGTCACCAATTTATGAATGAGGTGTTTGGTACTTGTATTTTCAGCTGAAATATTTAATGGTAAAATGTCCGTTATAGCTTAACTTTTCATAATTAAAGATACAATTCACATAGTTTTACTTAGTTCACAATAAGTCATAGGATTCTGTTGAGTTACATTAAGTCATCCAATGCAAATGGTGATTTTTGCTCTTGAATATATAATTAAAATTCTGCTCTTTATGGTTACAAAATTATCCAGTCAGTGAACAACTTGTGTAATATATGTAATCGTTTAAAATAGATATTAATTAGCAAAATCTATAATCTGCATACCAATACAAGATCTTTCCCCTGAAAAAGTCACTCATTACACATAATAAAAATGAAAGTTTCTTGTACAAAGAACTGCAAAATGCAAATACATGACTTACTCAATTCTAATTATTAGTGTAGCCAAACCTACCAAATTCAGTCAATTTTGGTCAATTTCAGGATCACAGGATTTTTAAAATTGTAAATTTCATGTTTTCAGGTATTTTAAATGCAAAATTTCAGTGTTGAAGTTGTAGGTATCCTGATCCAAAAAGGAATTGGGGCATGTGCATGTGCGTGCCAGGTTATCGCAGCGGCTTGCAGTACCCTTACTTTTGCACGGCTGCTGGTGGCAGCGCTGTCTTCAAAGCTGAGAAACTAGAGAGTGGCAGCTGCTGTGAAGGCAGAGCTAACACCACCAGCAGCAAAGAAGTAAAGGAGACATGGTATGATATTGCCACCCTTACTTCTGCACTGCTAGTGGCAGGATGATGCCTTCTGCGCTGGGCGCCAGCCCAACAGTCACTGCTTTCCAACCACACACATCTCTGAAATAAGTGCAAAAGGGTTCCAATACTATGATCCCCCTAAAACAACCTCATGACCCACCTGCAACTCCCTTTTGGATCAGGACCCAATTTGAGATATGCTGGTCTTCTCCATGAAATCTACATAGTATAGGATAAAAGCATACAAAAGGCCAGATTTTACCATCTGTTACACATTTTCCATAGCTATGAATTTGGTAGGACCTAGTTATTAGGTTACAGCCTAATATGTCACTAAGATGCCAAGTTCTGAACACAAACTACAAAGAGGCACACCTTAAGAAGCTAAATGCCCAAGGGGACATCATGTGGGACTTGGAGAATCAATAAGAGACTGGAATTTTACATAAGTGTGTAACACACACCAAGAATGAGGAAATTTGGTTGCTGGGAGATAGAATGAGGCCGGAATTTGCCTGGAGCAAATCCAGACAGTTTCTTCACAGCCAAGAACTATCCTCTCCTTGCTTTCTTCTTCTAACGAAGAAATAACATAAGACAAGTGGTGCATATCTGCAATGAGGGCCAGTGAAGGGGAGAAACCGAACAGCAAAGAGTGGAATGGAGACTTTACACATACCAAAGGAGAACATTTCACATATTCATGGGAGCAGATGTTATCACTAGTGTGCAGTTGGGAGAAACTAGATGAAAATACAGTAAAACTCCGGTGGTCTGGCATCCAGTGGTCCGGTACGCCTGATGGTCCGGCACCAGCTGCAACCCGGAAGTGCTCTGGCAGCTGCTTCAAGTTGTTAGAGTAATTGATTAACTGCGGCTGGATCCACAGCCGACACGCAGTTAATGTAATTTTCCTCTCTGCAGCCGGGGGGCAGGGGAAGGTAGGGGTCGGTGGGAGAGGGCGAGGGTGTGCCAAAGCAGCCGCATTCAGGATGTTCTGGTCAGTTACAGTCACTCCGGCTGGATCCACAGCCGACATGCAGTTAATGTAACTTTCCTCTCTACTGCGGGGGGAGGGCGGGGGGAACACCATCAGAGTGTACATAGTGATGGAGTCAAAAGTGAATGAAGGTGCTAGTAGTAGTGGTAAGAAAACTTTAAAAAGGAAGCATATAACCCTGACACTGAACCAGAAATTAGAAATTATAAAGATGCTAGAAAGAGGCATAAATCGGAACGTGATCATGAGTAAATTTAACGTTGGATCTTCGACAATCTATGACATAAAGAAACAGAAGGATAAATTGCGAGCATTTGTTGCTGAAAGTGAAGCACCTACTAAACGTACTGAGCTACGGCAAACTCTGAAAATGCCTAAGATGGCACAGTTGGATGTAGCTTTGTTTAAGTGGTTTAGTGCAAAGCTTTCTGAAGGTAAGCCCATTACTGGGCCAGTGCTCATAGAAAAAGCAAAACAGTTTCACAGTCAAATGAATATTAACAAATCGTGTGTTTTCAGAAGGTTGGCTGCGTAATTTTAAGGATCGGCACGGGATCCGTAAATTAGATATCAGTGGTGAGCAAAAGTCTGCCAATCATGTAGCCGCTGAGGAGTATAGTGCTATTTTTGAGCAGTTGGTGGAGGAACACAGGTTGTCACCTTGTCAAATGTACAATGCTGATGAAACTGGGCTCTTATGGCGTTGTTTGCCAAACTCTACTCTAGTTGGCGGTGGTGAAAAGGCTGCTCATGGCTTCAAAATGAACAAAGACCGCATTACAGTTCTGGTATGCGC